TTGTTGTTGTTGTTGTTGTTGTTGTTGTTGCTGGGACAAATAAAAACGGGGAAATATTTGTCGATCTGTATTCGTCGGGACTTCAAATTTGATGAATACAAATTGACAAATATATGACAATTTGGCGATATTAGTTTAAAAAAACCGATCCGTTTTTATATTCATCTCCATCTCTACCCAGTACCAATTAAAATCTATAAAAGTAAATATTAATCAACAGGGTAAAATTCCAAGTCAGATCAGCCTGTCTACCCACCTCCCAAAGAACGGATCAAGAAAAAAAAGGTAGTGAGCTGATCTCTGCAACATGAACTATGGGATAAAATGTAATGTGAAACTGAAAGATGGAAGCCCATTCTACCAAGGGAGATCCTTTGCATGCCACCGATGTATACTGACAAGAGACAATCTCTTGGGCTTTGTCATAGATACATCTCTCTTGGCTGTTAGCACTATGAGGTGGACAAGGGCCAGCACCCACACATTCTGAAAATCAAGAAGCCAGGATACACACAGATGAGAGCTCTATGCTTGCCCTGGAATGGAATCCTCTTCCTAGCTCAGGGGTGGGTGACGTGTTGGAAAAAGTGCTGGAAACACGCAATATTGAAAATTATCCCTGGAGTGCATAATCAGCCCATCGGCTTTATCATGGAAAAAAAAAAGTTGGGAATGAGGGCATTTACTTTTATTTAAGAAATAAATATCAAAACTCCATGATAAAGTAAATAAAATTGTACAATGGAATCCAACGTGATTATGCAAAGTAATTACACTGGGCATATATTTTGTATCTGCACATCAAGGAGAGAAGGAAAGCACTCGAGCCTTGCTCCCCACCAGTGGAAATCGTCCATTCTGCACCGTTTCCTCATGTTTTTGGATTGCACCCATATTGTGAACAGACATTCAAGTCCCCTTTTGCAGCCTTTAATGACCTGAGCAGTGTTTAAAATAAACAACTATCTCAATGATGATGCTTTTCAAGATAACGGGCTCCTTTCCTGCTTCTGTGCTCTTGTAGTGCTGTTCCTGAGCGGTAGAGAACAAGCAGTCCTGCCAATGACTCACCAGTTTACCTCTGACCAGAACAATGAATGTCTAAGACTTTGATGACAGCTTATTTTCACACGGTTTCGAGTGAAATAGCAGGAGACTCCTATCCCAGCTGGTGCTTCCAAAGCAACAGGTGAGTTCCATGGCACAGTCCTTGATCAAAATCTGAGTGATTTTCTCTTCCATGTTCCCATTGATGGTGAGCGATCGGAAATGGTCAAAGTCATTCCGGCCCAGTTTCCGCAGGCGCCGGGCAGCTGCGCGGTAACACTTCCATGGCTGGGGTTCAATAAGCAAGTAAGTGCACTTCGAGGCAAGGCAGGACAGGAACTTCTCCAGGCCACGGTCCCCATGGTTCAGGTGGATCCACATGGTCACAGACATACAGAAGCAAATATCAAAGACAGAACGGCCAAACCTGGTCAGATAGGAGCTCAGCAGCACCTCCCTTGCGTGGGAGTCCATGATATCTAGGGTAGCATAGGAAATGGAGCCTGGGAAAGGGCTACTTTGCTGGGCTCTCTCAATCAGCTCAGGATCAATGTCACAGCAAAGAAGATGGAAGTCCTTTACAGGTGCAGAACAATCAAGGCCAGCTTTGTTCTCTTCAGGCTCAAGGAAGTGTCTATAGAGAGCGATGCTGAGCTCCTGAAGAAAAAAAGGGGGGAAAGAGATGACTTTCAGTCAGTACGCTTTGTAAATCTCAACCATGAACCTTCTGATCCTGTTTGATTTTGACCTCAGTCAGTGTGGGCAGTGGGAATTTTAGTCTAACACAGGCACATCCAAGACTGGGAGATATATTTCAAAAAATAGAGATGCCCATCCAATCTCTGTCCCTTGGTGGCCCAATCAGATACAATCAATAATAATAATAACCATAGAACTGAAGAGCTGGAAGAAACCCCCCTGATCGAGTCCAGCCTCTGTCAAGGAGGCATGAGCTTGGTATTGAACTCCCAAACTCTGGCTCAGTAGCCAGAGACTTATACCACTGAGCTATAATCAAAATACAACCATCTTGCATATCTTTGCAGACAGCTCTTAAGGCTAATGCTTTCTGAGTTTTACACAATGCCTTATCTGCAGCGCGGTTGTTTTTGTTCTATTCTTGCTGTTTTGGAATTTTACTGTGGTTAATAGCTGGTTTTAACTCTTCATAGTTACTTTGCAAGGTATGATGCAAGTTGGTTTTTTAATAAATCAAACATACAACTAAAAAGTATGTTACAAATCGTGTCTTCTGTTCTCTCTCTTTCCCCCCCACCATGTGTTATCAGACTAGGCTTCTCCAATCCAATGCTTTTCATATGTGTTAGACTACAGTGCAATGCCTGACAAGCAATCATGCTGGATAATGCGGGATCTAAACATGCAGAAAGAACAGTTGGAGATGGCTGGATCAGAAACAGGGTCTAATATTTTCCAGTATAAGAGCTCACATTTGTTAAGATGGGAGGCGCACACACAGCTAAAGCATGCAGTTATGTGTTTGGTGGTATTCAAAAAGTAAAACCGACTGTTAAAAAGAGGATGATAATAATACAAGACCGCTGACATGTTCCTCGTCATTTAGTCGTTTCCGACTCTTCGTGACCCCATGGACCAGAGCACGCCAGGCCCTCCTGTCTTCCACTGCCTCCCGGAGCTCCTACTGTTGTAGGAACTATGTTCTATAGTACTATGCTCCTACTGTGGCTCGAATCCAAGTACTGTAATAAAATGTCTTAAAATCAATCAACTGAGTGTTTAGCTTTGCACAAACACACACACATGCAGAGCAAATTAATGATGTCAGACCACTGCAAGTGTAAGAGAGAATCAAGCCAGGCTACAAGACACTTTCTTCCAACCCATTACATCCAAAGCCTGTTGCCTGCTTTTAGCTCTACAACCAAGAGCTACGGGAGGAGAACATCCAAGCTTGAGAGGCTGTTCAGAATTTCTGACTTTTTTGCACAGGGGCAGGGATGGCAATTGTGTTCCCCGACACTTTTTCCACCATTTTCCACTACTATTTCAGGATACCTGTATTCTTTTCTCTGAAAAAGCAGCGACCCACTCCCTGAAAGGAGAAACGTGGTCTCACGTGGATGAGGTTACAGAGCGTCAAGCAAGGATCTTATTGTCCCTCTTTTTAATAATAATAATAAAAAAGGGACGGGGCATCCTTTGGCCGTGCGTCCTGGATTTCTCCGATTCTCTCCCCACCGCCCCTCCCCAAAAAAGTTTAAAGAGCCATTTCCTTCCAAGGGCGCTTTGGAAAGTGGCCACAGCCCTGCTTTGTCCACCCTCAGACAGGATCCCCGCATCCACTGCAACGCTGAGAGATCAGCTCTTGAGACGCAGCTGCCCCGGTTGAACTTCCGCCCCCTAGCAGAGAGCGCAAAGAGAGGTGCGGACAGCCGTCGTGGAAAGCGCTTATCATCTTCCTTCTCCCCCCCCCGTCCCCATCACCCTGTTTCCCCCATGGCTTTGCTCACCCCTGAATTGCATCCCACGTCCAGCCCCAAAAGGGGCCCCGCACGAGGGCTCGGGAAGAGCTCGCTCAGGAGCGAACCGGGCAAAAGGCGGAGGCGCCCCTCCGGCGGGTGGAAGCGGGAATAGTCTGGGAAATTCCCGTACGGCGCTGCCCCGCCGGGGAGAAGAGAGAGGCCCCCCGTCCGACCCTCGCCCGTGGGCGCCGCCATCTTGAGAGTAGCAGAAGTTAGCGTCCGACTGGGAAACCAGTCAGGGATCAGCGAAGGTTCCGGGTGCAAAGATGTCGGAGGAGGCGAGGTCATGAAAAAAAGCGTTCCCTCCCTCTTTCCCTCCGAGCAGGTTTGCCTCACTAGCATCCGCGGTTCCTTTTTATGGTGTCCTTATGCCGAAGTTGGAAACGTCCCTTTGGGCTACAGGTTGAAGAATGCCTTGGAGGATGACTTCTGAATGCGTCAGCTTTGCATCGGGTTGTCCGTAAGAAGAAAGGGAGCTAGAAAGCCACCAGCTGCGAGCATCGTGCGAGAAACAATCCCCTCCTCGCCGGTTTTCTGCCCGGCCCTGCTTATAAGTAGAGGCCTTTGTTCGATTCGTTGTTCACAAAAATTTTTTTAAAAAATTAAAAAAAAACCCTCATCAATAAAAAAATGGAACAGCATCGTGTGTTTCTAAGGTCACCCCCTGGGGTGCGTAGGAAGCTCATAGCAGGCGGGCAGTTTATCATGCATTACCCTGCTAAAGTGTTTGCCCAAACTAAAGAGTTTGTTTTTAAAACCAGAGGATATGTTTTCCTGAAAAGTGCAGTTTTTTTCATGCTGCTTTTTAGCCAAGAAGAGGTGTGATGATCCACATTAGTGGATTTGAGGGCGTTTGGTTCCCTGTTGCACACTGACTTGGTGCTCTGGTGGGTGTGTTGCGCTTTGGTTTGTGGCGAGATGCCATCTGTGCATCCTCTTTCTGTCTAGGTCTTCTTCATTCATACCTCTGGTCCACTTGGCAGTTTCCCTTAATCTGTCCTCGGAGCCTGGCCTTCGTTGTACCACGGCTAAACCCAGAGGTTTTCTGCTGACTGAGGTTGCGATGACACGGGGAAATTGATTGTAATTTGGACCGTTTGTCAAGCAGTCTGGTGTGATCTATTTCCCAGTAATCACAGATGGCATGGGGAAAAGTGCTCCAGCTGAATCCTGATCCATGCCAAAGCTGAACCTTTTTGGTCCATGTGTGCAGCTTCTGCTTTACAAGGTTGGGCTGTCACCAGCAGATAAAATAGTCACTTTAAGGAAAATTGCGCCTGTTGAAGTGACCCGTTTTGGTGGTGGTCAGGCATGAACCTTTACAACCGTCTGATTGCACACTGGGTAGACATGTACATTTCCAGTACAAACCTATTCTCGTGCTCTCTCCATTGTAGTGAAAGGCAAGTGGGCACATGCCTTGAGACCCCAATTCCAGGCTCAGTCTGCATGAGATCTTTGATATGTTTGACCCACACCATGTCCTTCCCCTGACAATATGAGGATATGACAAAAATAGAATGGGAGCATGATATAATAAATTATCACAAGCCCCACATCCCCATAGTCATCATCAGCATAAAGGAAGTGAGTGTGTCATGTGGCATTCAAACACAGCTGTCAGAAAACTCTGGCAGCCATGGATGTGGCTTCAACTGCTGAGTTCCTTAACGCCCTTACACGGAAGACATCCCAATGAGCAACAAGTTGTAAGACCAAAGGAGAAAGAGAGGAAGAGTGAACTGTTATGAAAGGTGCATGGATAAGCTGCAATGGGAACTACAAGGGAAATGAATTAGTATATGGCTGGAAGCTGTGTGATAATTATGTCTGTTTTCTCTACGATTCCAGTCCTGTGTTGTACTTGAAGGCACCCAAACACAACAGAGTTTTCCCCCCGAAACAAGTTTTGGTTTGTGTTGCATGCCCGCAGCCTGTAAATAAGGAACATAAATTGAAAACAACAAAATGCCACAAAAAACTGTGTTGAAATACCGACAGCACCCTGATAGGTGGTACAATTTAGTTACATGTAAGGGTAGAAAAGTTCAAGAAGCATTTGCTGTTTAAAAAGAAACTAATATCCACAATATAGAGACAATTACAAATGGGAAGAATTGCCTGATAAGTACATTGTGGGACCTGAAAAGGCCTGTATCAAAATGGCAGCTGCAAGGAAGGTAGGTAGTTCTTCCCCAAAAGACCTAAGTCTAGTTGATGATTCTCAGGATTCTAGTAAAAAAGTAAAATGGATTATAGAAGCCCACTCAGCCCTACTCAACAGCACTAAGCACACAAAATATTCTATGCCATCATCCTCTGCACAGTTGTTGGTGCATCAATAACTTGATGGGTTCCTGTTATTAACATGTACTCAGGGATGAATCCATACATAGTCATGTACGTAGATCCACTGGCCAAAATCCTGTTGCTTGGTGTAGTAAATTGCAGCAGGGAAACTTAGTCTGATGTAGTGGACAGGGTATCAGACTAGGACACAGGAGGCCTGGCTTTGGGTGTCTGCTGAGCCGTGGAAACTGACTGGGGGAGTGGAACTGGCAAAACCACTTCTGAAACATCTTACCTTGAAAGGGTTGTTGTAAGTCAGTTCCGACTTGATGGAACATAACAGCAGGTCAATTGAATAAAAGGGGATTTAATCAGTCAACTCTTCTGTACATTCCATTGATTCAAATGGATCTCCTCTAATTGCAACCTATTATAGCATAACAAGTGGCAGCTTGAGTAGGCCCACATGAATCAGTGGAACTTATGGAGTTGATTTGTCAACTCCCCATTCAATCCAATGTGATTTACTATGCTCAGCAATAGGATTTTGCCATGACTAATTTAAATCCCAGAGATTTCAATACTTGCAACAGTAAATCTGGATTCAGTTCCGAAGTTGAATATATCCCATAATGTTGCTATAAGTCTAATTGAACTCAATAGGACTCAACTGCTGAGTAGATAAGTATGTGGTTGCATTATACCTCCTCCTGGATTTTACTTGGGTCAATAAACAACATTCACTCTAACTTTCAGCCCTGCTGGGCAGAGCTCTGCACAAATACTAAATTTACAGGTAGGCTGCAGGTCACCACCAGTATATATGCTGGCTGGTGGGTCATGAATGGACATGAGAGCTTCAGATTCTTATCCTAGGGGATAAGAATCCGAATCAAAGCATCACAGGTGCCATGGAGGTCCGTTCTCTCCTGCAGAACCAGCCCAGTCCACTCACCAGGCTTTGCATGGTGTGCACGGCCATCATCAGTAACATTGCACCAATCATGGAAGGTGACCAGCTGGCAATTCCCCACCTCCCTGCACTGCTGACCACTCTGGTGAGGAGGGGGGATGACAAGTCTGCCCACTCAGCTGCTGAGTGTTCAGCAACACAGGAAGGCAGGGAAGCACTAGCCAGGCTACTTCTGCGATTGGCACAATGTTACCCATGATGGCCCTGCATACCACACAAAGCCTGAGCAGTGGACTGGCTAACTCGGGGGGGGGGGAAGGTCGAAAGGACCTGGTCGCCTGTGGTGGCAATACTCCTGGGGAGAGGAATACAAATATCCTGTCTCTATCATACATATACATGTTTAATGCCTATTAGTATAGGAAGTTTCTACATTATTAATCATGCAAACAATGAAACAAGTACTGTAGAAGCCAAGAGGCCAAAGGGGGGGGGAGGAATTTCGGTTATGTCATATTTTTTCCAGTAAGGAGGGAGTTAACTAAGAAAAAAATAGGAAGTAACTTAAATCTTAAATGAGGTACAACCAATTTTCATATACTGTATGTTACTACGGCACCTCAGTTTTTCAGACATTTCAGAGCCGGAAGTGTAAGGTGGTGACTATACTGGAAAACTGAATTGGAGTGATTTGGCTCTGCTAAGATTTAATTCAGAGCCTCCATTACATCTGAAATTGCACTCTGTGCTAACACATGGGCTGCCAACTGATTAGTTTACTGATCATACTGGATGCCATGCAAGTTTCGTTCAAGCAGTTCCTTCCTTTCTCTGATCCTGCCCCTTTTGTGGTTTGTTTATTTATTTTATTTTATTTTATTTTATTTTATTTTATTTTATTTTATTTTATTTTATTTTATTCTATTTATATCCCGCCTATCTGGTCGGTTAAGACCACTTGTGAAGAGTTGGGGATTTGGGAAGCTCCCTCTCTTTTGGGGAGGTGACTCTGCCCGCCAGGGATGGGGTCCACAGCTTGGGGATCCATCTGGACCCGGCACTTACTATGGAACTCCAGGTGGCGTTGGTGGTCTGCACTGCCTTTTTTCACCTCAGATGGATAGCCCAGCTGCGGTCCTACCTTGATGTGGGGTTGCTGACCACCTTGGTGCATGCGCTCGTAATCTCGAGATTAGACCACTGCAACGCGCTCTACAGTACGTGGGGCTACCTTTGAGGCTGCTGCGAAAATTACAGGTGGTGCAGAATGCGGTTGCCAGATTACTCAGTGGAGTGAAAAATACCAACATATCTCACCCACTCTGGCCGCATTGCATTGGCTGCCCATCTGGTTCCGCATCGACTTCAAAGTGTTGGTGCTTACGTACAAAGCCCTAAACGGTTTAGGGCCTCGATATTTGGCGGAACGCCTACTCCTACCAAGATCT